GCACTACATACCTGATATGAAACTCGGACACTCCTGTGTCCCTGGCTATGAACCTGATTGACTTCGAGCGATCCTTGCCAAACATGGCCTGAATCTCACCAACAAATCTTTCTTTTCTAATTGAGAACGAGCAATGTGAGTTTTCCAAGCTGTTGCACCTTCATAATCACAATTAGACTCATCCAACCCTTTCCGAATTTTCTGGACTATCCTCAGATTGACACCCAAACATTCTGAAATATTCGTATTGGAGATCCGGCGCGAATAGCGAGCAGTACAGCATGCCGTTTCCAAATTTCTAACGGAGAGAATTGCATGATGGTTATCTATTTCTCACTAATGGTGCCAAATTAACCCTACTGTATTCTAGGGTCGACAAAATAAAAACAAACAACGTGCATGAGCGAAATTAAATTATAAAATGGCGACAATTTACTTATCACACACACACACACACACACACACACACACACACACACACACACACATATATATATATATATATATATATATATATGTATTCGTTTTTCGTTAAATTATGTTTTATTATATCATGGAAATTCAGAGTGATTTTCAAATTTTTTTTATAGTGTCTTCATTCACTTTTCAGTTTATCTCTCATTTGTCATTTCAGTTTATCTGCAATTTATCTTTTTGTATCAATGTTTTTCCTTTTATTAGTTACATGATCTCGCTGTTGGCCTATTTTCTGTACAATTAAGTGTTAAAGTGTTTTTTCCTTCGAGATGATTATTAGAAACTCATTGCAAAGGAGAATCCACCTTTGATTTATATCAAAAGAATTTCTAAAAACCAGATGAGAACAAATGTGTTGAGAACTGAATACGTTTATACATACTTACGTTCCAGAGAATTGAGAATAAATTCTCGATTCCTGAAAAAAAAAAAGAAAAAAAAAAAAAAGAAAAGAAAAGAAAGATCGTATCTTCTTTTTCTGGACGTCGCCAAACATATTATTAAGTATCTCTTGTACTATTTCCCGAGCATGTATACTCACTTAACAGCGAAATTAAGCGAAGTTTGACGTCTCGTTCAATCTGAGATCATTTCAGAATCAATAAACGTTGGCCTGTGACGAGACGGAATTACTTGGCAGGGTGAAAAATAATAGCAAAAAGCAAATGAGATTTCGGACATTGTGATTAGCCACTATAAAATTAATTGACATGAGCAGAAAGAAAAAAAAGAAAAAAAGAACTTGTGCGGGTTGATCGTCTGTTTGTCGAGGGTGGAAGGTTTTGGCATCTGATTTCAGCTATTTCACACTGCTGCAATTATTTTTCTTTTTTTCTTTTCTTTTTTTCTTTTCTTTTTTTCTTTGATCATCTACGAACTCAGTTAGCAAGTGAATTAATAATTCATCAATTGGTTTCTCGTTGTTGGAGATCGCGGTTATAACTGCTAGCATTTTATCAGTATATATTCTACGAAGTATTCAAAGTTCTACAGGCCAAATCATTCCAAAAGTAATGTCATGCTTCAAGAGAAGTGACATCAAATTTAGCCTTACAACAACCGATCGAATGAAGAATAAATACATACAAAGGAATTTTAGTAACTTGACCCAATATTAAATTGCTGAACACGTACTGAATCCCCCTATATATATATATATATATATATATATTATATATATATATTTATTTAGTAATAAATATTAGATGAGGACAATGGTCCGAATAATGTAAATAATATATATATATATATATATATATATATATATATATATATATTTATATTATTCGGACCATTGTCCTCATCTTTTTGCCATATTTATTACTAAGTTTCAGACATTGTACGCTCTACAGTTGGTTGGAAGGCCGGAGCGTACTACGGTCGAAATGTAGTAATAAATATGGCGACAATGATGAGGACAATAGTCCCAATAATACCTCATCACACACACACACATATATATATATATATATATATATATATATATAGTAATCCACAGACAGACTGTTTCGCTGCTCAACAATGTGGCTAGATATTCGATTACGTCAAACGGGGATCGAAACCCGACAGATATGGTATCACTCGGTGATTTTATCCCTAAACTATTGTCGCAAGGCAGGGATGAAGGTGAACTTAGACGTATTTATTTTAGACAAACACGACAGTGACCGGAGAACTCGATTCGTCTTAATGAAGAGTCTTGCACGTATATATATATATATATATATATATATATATATATATATATATATATATATATATTTTTATATATATATATATATATTAAAAACATTTTTATGTTTAACGTTCTTTTATAGATACAAGTATTTAAGTAAATGCTATGTTTATAATAAACAGTATTAAATAACATTTACCGGCCTGAATGTCCGAGAAATTTTCATAGAAAATATTCGTCCTTTGACAGTATTTGAACCTGCATCCTATACGGAACTGTCATTTACGCTGACGTGCCTAACCTCTAGGCCACAAAGGATCGTTCGGTTGGCAAAGTCGAATTTACTGCTTATAAACCACAACTAATCCAAACAGATAACTTATATAAAAATTTCAGTTATCTGTTTGGATTAGTTGTGCTCTTATGTCCATCGTCTTTTCGTGTTGAATTTTTATATGTTCTAATGTTAATTATGTTTAAATGAAAATGTCCTGATGATGGTCTAAAATAGTCCGAAACGTCCGACGTTGACTTTATATTAACATTAATACAGCATAATTGCATATTAAGATTTTTGTTTGTTTTTTCTGTATATTTTTCTTCATATATATATATATATATATATATATATATATATGAGCTAGTAGAAGAAAGCGAGGTTTTTGAACAGAAGATAGAAAATGTGACACCAATATGCGAACACCCATCGAACTAGTGAAAGAAACATACCAAATGCTAAGCAAGGTTCTTATAAATGGCAAAATTCTGAGAAATAAAGAAAAGAATGCTGAATTGTAATAGCCATTATCTTATATGTCAGCGAAGGCTGGACCATCTTTCCAAGGATGAAGAGAGAACTGGACACAGCAGGAATGTGGTTCTGCAAGAGGATACTGAAAATTTGATGGGCCGTGCGAGTAAGCAACAACGAAGTGTTAAACAACATTTGAATAGAAAAAAAAAACCAATAATACTCAGAATCAGGAAGAGACAGCTGACAGTACACTTGGAATCAGGAAAAGGCAGTTGACAGTTATCATGGAATCAGAAAAAGACAGCTGACAGTTCCTTGGAATGAGGAAAAGGCAGCTGACAGTTCCTTGGAATGAGAAAAAAGCAGATAACAGTTCCTTGGAATCAGAAAAGACAGCTGACAGTTCCTTGGAATGAGGAAAAGGCAGCTGACAGTTCGTTGGAATGAGAAAAAGACAGCTGACAGTTCCTTGAAATCAGGAAAAAGCAGATAACAGTTCCTTGGAATCAGAAAAGACAGCTGACAGTTACTTGGAATCAGGAAAAGGCAGATAACAGTTCCTTGGTATCAGAAAAGTCAGCTGACAGTTACTTGGAATCAGGAAAAGGCAGATAACAGTTCCTTGGAATCAGAAAAGTCAGCTGACAGTTCCTTGGAATGAGGAAAAAGCAGATAACAGTTCCTTGGAATCAGAAAAGACAGCTGACAGTTCCTTGGAATCAGGAAAAAGCAGATAACAGTTCCTTGGAATCAGAAAAGACAGCTGACAGTTACTTGGAATCAGGAAAAGGCAGATAACAGTTCCTTGGTATCAGAAAAGTCAGCTGACAGTTACTTGGAATCAGGAAAAGGCAGATAACAGTTCCTTGGAATCAGAAAAGTCAGCTGACAGTTCCTTGGAATGAGGAAAAAGCAGATAACAGTTCCTTGGTATCAGAAAAGTCAGCTGACAGTTACTTGGAATCAGGAAAAGGCAGATAACAGTTCCTTGGAATCAGAAAAGTCAGCTGACAGTTCCTTGGAATGAGGAAAAAGCAGATAACAGTTCCTTGGAATCAGAAAAGACAGCTGACAGTTCCTTGGAATGAGGAAAAAGCAGATAACAGTTCCTTGGTATCAGAAAAGACAGCTGACAGTTCCTTGGAATGAGGAAAAAGCAGATAACAGTTCCTTGGTATCAGAAAAGTCAGCTGACAGTTCCTTGGAATGAGGAAAAGGCAGCTGACAGTTCCTTGGAATGAGAAAAAGACAGCTGACAGTTCCTTGGAATCAGGAAAAAGCAGATAACAGTTCCTTGGAATCAGAAAAGACAGCTGACAGTTACTTGGAATGAGGAAAAAGCAGATAACAGTTCCTTGGAATCAGAAAAGACAGCTGACAGTTCCTTGGAATCAGGAAAAAGCAGATAACAGTTCCTTGGAATAAGAAAAGTCAGCTGACAGTTACTTGGAATCAGGAAAAGGCAGATAACAGTTCCTTGGTATCAGAAATGACAGCTGACAGTTCCTTGGAATGAGGAAAAAGCAGATAACAGTTCCTTGGAATCAGAAAAGTCAGCTGACAGTTCCTTGGAATGAGGAAAAGGCAGATAACAGTTCCTTGGAATCAGAAAAGACAGCTGACAGTTCCTTGGAATCAGGAAAAAGCAGATAACAGTTCCTTGGAATCAGAAAAGACAGCTGACAGTTACTTGGAATGAGGAAAAAGCAGATAACAGTTCCTTGGAATCAGAAAAGACAGCTGACAGTTCCTTGGAATGAGGAAAAGGCAGCTGACAGTTCGTTGGAATGAGAAAAAGACAGCTGACAGTTCCTTGAAATCAGGAAAAAGCAGATAACAGTTCCTTGGTATCAGAAAAGACAGCTGACAGTTCCTTGAAATCAGGAAAAAGCAGATAACAGTTCCTTGGAATCAGAAAAGACAGCTGACAGTTCCTTGGAATCAGGAAAAAGCAGATAACAGTTCCTTGGAATCAGAAAAGACAGCTGACAGTTACTTGGAATGAGGAAAAAGCAGATAACAGTTCCTTGGAATCAGAAAAGTCAGCTGACAGTTACTTGGAATCAGGAAAAGGCAGATAACAGTTCCTTGGTATCAGAAAAGACAGCTGACAGTTCCTTGGAATGAGGAAAAAGCAGATAACAGTTCCTTGGAATCAGAAAAGACAGCTGACAGTTTCTTGGAATCAGGAAAAAGCAGATAACAGTTCCTTGGAATCAGAAAAGACAGCTGACAGTTCCTTGGAATGAAGAAAAGGCAGCTGACAGTTCGTTGGAATGAGAAAAAGACAGCTGACAGTTCCTTGAAATCAGGAAAAAGCAGATAACAGTTCCTTGGAATCAGAAAAGACAGCTGACAGTTCCTTGGAATCAGGAAAAAGCAGATAACAGTTCCTTGGAATCAGAAAAGACAGCTGTCAGTTACTTGGAATGAGGAAAAAGCAGATAACAGTTCCTTGGAATCAGAAAAGTCAGCTGACAGTTCCTTGGAATGAGGAAAAGGCAGATAACAGTTCCTTGGTATCAGAAAAAGACAGCTGACAGTTCCCTGGAATGAGGAAAAGGCAGATAACAGTTCCTTGGAATCAGAAAAGTCAGCTGACAGTTCCTTGGAATGAGGAAAAGGCAGATAACAGTTCCTTGGTATCAGAAAAGACAGCTGACAGTTCCTTGGAATGAGGAAAAAGCAGATAACAGTTCCTTGGAATCAGAAAAGACAGCTGACAGTTTCTTGGAATCAGGAAAAAGCAGATAACAGTTCCTTGAATCAGAAAAAGACAGCTGACAGTTCCTTGGAATGAAGAAAAAAGGCAGCTGACAGTTCGTTGGAATGAGAAAAAGACAGCTGACAGTTCCTTGAAATCAGGAAAAAGCAGATAACAGTTCCTTGGAATCAGAAAAGACAGCTGACAGTTACTTGGAATGAGGAAAAAGCAGATAACAGTTCCTTGGAATCAGAAAAGTCAGCTGACAGTTCCTTGGAATGAGGAAAAGGCAGATAACAGTTCCTTGGTATCAGAAAAAGACAGCTGACAGTTCCTTGGAATGAGGAAAAAAAGCAGATAACAGTTCCTTGAATCAGAAAAGTCAGCTGACAGTTCCTTGGAATGAGGAAAAGGCAGATAACAGTTCCTTGGTATCAGAAAAAGACAGCTGACAGTTCCTTGGAATGAGGAAAAGGCAGATAACAGTTCCTTGGAATCAGAAAAGTCAGCTGACAGTTCCTTGGAATGAGGAAAAGGCAGCTGACAGTTCCTTGGAATGAGAAAAAGACAGCTGACAGTTCCTTGGAATGAGGAAAAGGCAGATAACAGTTCCTTGGAATCAGAAAAGACAGCTGACAGTTCCTTGGAATCAGGAAAAAGCAGATAACAGTTCCTTGGAATCAGAAAAGACAGCTGACCGTTCCTTGGAATGAGGAAAAAGCAGATAACAGTTCCTTGGAATCAGAAAAGACAGCTGACAGTTCCTTGGAATGAGGAAAAGGCAGCTGACAGTTCCTTGGAATCAGAAAAGGACAGCTGACAGTTCCTTGGAATCAGGAAAAGACAGTTCACAGTCCCTTGAAAAAACAAATGAGGAATGCTTGGAAAACATATTGAGGACAGGAGAAGTAGTGGAGATCAAAGATCACTTATTTGACGAACTTTTATGAATAAACGTCGGAATGGGGTGATGGTAACGTTGGCAAAAGAAAACCTGCTAAGGGACAGGAAGCCATAATCGCCTAGGCGGACACGGCACACAGGAAGAAGAAAAGAATAATCTTTTTTCCATATCTTATCATTTTGCCAATGTGTACATTAAGAAAATAATATGAACAACATTTAAAATCCTTATGAGTCATATAGATCGTATCTTTTATTAAAGAGATATTTTATACGGAACATAAATGTTGATGTAACATTCGCAACGTTAATAAGGATTCCAACGCGAGATAATATTAAAATCGTAAAAAAATGAAAGCATCGAAGAAGAAAAGAAGAACAGAATTTAATCATTAGCTTTATTTCCTTTTCACATGAATCGCCATTTATACATCGAAAAGCTTTTACTCAAAAAATAAAGCACCGTATGTTTTGGTCTTATATTTTTTCACAATTTGATAATAAAAATGCCTATCACAGGAGATGCATTTTCAGATGATACCGCCTTATTGCCCCGACTGGATTTCAAGTTATTACCCGATGTCATATATATATATATATATATATATATATATATATATATATATATATATATAAACCAACCCATGCAAGGCAGTAAAGTCACTTAGACATAAGTGGTTACTAGATGTGGAAGAATTAAAACAGAAATATTATTAAGGAGCGCGAACAATAGAAGACAGAATGAAGACAGAAAATAACGATTTACATTGCATTTAAATTATTGAAGATCAAATTTCATTGGAAAGCATGGTGCAGGAAGTGTATTCCACAAAGGAGAAGTGCGAGAAAAGAAACTGTTAGCATAGAACTTACGGTTACATCCAGCCATTTCAACTGTAAATCGATCAGAATTTGTTGCTAATTTACTACTGCGTTTAAAAGTCTATGTACCACAGCGAAAGGGTACAAGGTATCAACTTTACGGTGGTGGAAATTGACTGACGCTATGTCAGGATCAATAATATTGCACTTTTGGATTTTGTCAACAGTCTATAAATATATAAGAGCACCGATATGTAAGAGATATACTGGAGAGAAAAGATGTCCATCACGACAAAGTGACCAATTTCCTTAGCAGAACTAGCAATCGATTCAGTATAATCTTTCCGCTTCATGTTAGCTCGAGAAGCCGCAACGAGTCGTTCTCCTGGTGGTTAGCATCAGCCATGATGATGGAAGGCAGAAAGGGTTCTCTTAGATGATTATGAGAGAGCAGTTGTGTTTTGGGGGTATTAAAATTAACAAGACATTCTTTGCCTCCGTTAACAACAGACTGTAGGGCATTATTTTTTTTTAAATCAGCCGCCGATTTGACCTTATTGATCTGATCAGACTTACTATCAAAGCTGGAATGAATTGTTGTGTCATCAGTATTGATACCAAGCTGGGAGCTGATGTCATCAGTAAGGTTATTGACGTTAATTAAGAACAAAGATCAACGATAAAGCCCTGGGGAACACTTGAATAAGTACAAAAGGATCTAGAAGAGTAGCCACTGAGGACAACTTTCATTAACACTACATTATTAGTAAAATTAATACAAAAAGCTAAATAAAGCGGAAATTCACTATCACCTGTAATAATTACCACAAAGTATTCAAAGGAGAAACCTCGAGAAATTAAAATAAAATACCTGCGCACAAAAAAGAATTTTTACAAACAATACACTCAATGCAGTAGATTTTCACCGTAATGAGTCTGACCATAATTTTCATATGAAAACAATCCTTTTATTAAGACAGACAACATTTTATTGAGACGAAATTGTAAAGAAAGTGCCTTAATCGTTCATTCATTCACAGTAAATTTGTGTTCAGGATCTTACAGAATTTCAGCTTATATATATATATATATATATATATATATATATATATATATATATATATATAATTTTAAAAGTTTTTCAACGACCTAACATTTTCAACGTTTCTTATCACTTCATAATTATAACCAACCTTTACCTTTTCTCTTGACATGCATTCAAAGTCCGACGACGAACTACTGAAACCCGTCGTACAATAAATCTTACAATTTTGTCATTACTTTCCATATATATATATATATATATATATATATATATATATATATATATATAAACCCCCTTTTATTCTTCTCTTAGTTTTAAATTAACATTTAATTCTCCATATATCCCCAATTTAATGTCATATGTTTATTATCCGGGTTTAATTTTATAAAACCTCTTCTCTTCAAGATAAATATCTTCCATCCTCACATGGCCACTGCCTCGTGCCTTTCGTCTGACTGAAACATTGAAATGGATGAATTCTGTATTTATTTTTGACGGTTATTTTTGTAGCTTTCACAGTTAAATTTCTATTTACGACACGAACTCAGTCTATCCCGGCGTTGATCAGACTGACGAATTATATTTTTGTCTGTCGAAATAAGTTTAACCCCCATATGAGACGATTTGGGATTTTATTGTGTATCAATTTTTGTTCTGTAATAATAAATACATTGAGTTCTTTTTGCAGATCAATTTTAATACTTTATATTACTAGCATCCACTTGAATTATACACCAACGGATTTATTACCTTTACTATATATATATATATATATATATATATATATACCTTTATTACCTTTACCATATATATATATATATACAGTGTAACCTGGATGTAAGAGAGTTGTCGGGACTGGAGACGAAGTCTCTTATATCCGGGTTTCTCTTATATCCGGGTTTGGTCTATGTTATATACATTAACACAGGCTCTAATTTCGGACCAGAGAAAATTTCTTATATCCGGGTTTCTCTTATATCCGGGTCTCTTATATCTGGGTTACACTGTATATATATATATATATATATATATATATATATATATACCTTTATTACCTTCACTATATATATGATGCACGAGTAGAGCAAGAGTGATTTTCGTGATATTAAATTTTAGGGATTCGTTTCTTAATTTATACTGACAGAAAATATAATGACAAAAGTTATCACGATGAGGATTTTGACTTGGATACATGTGACTACTTTCTTTTTAAATGTCATGTCTCTTTGAAAACATAAACGATTATCGATCTCCATAGATTATGTTTCATTGTCAGTAAATTACCATATCATTTTGGACTTTTCTCTAACTTTTTCATACATCTTTATATTTGAATTGATTCTCGTTCGAGCCAATCACCCAAGATTAAAGACCACTTACTTGTCTACTCTGCCACTTAACCCGTACGTGAGGGTTTCATTGCCTTTCCCAAACAAAACCTACAGCCACATAACGTTGAAACAACAGTTCTAGTATGATCACCAAAGTTAAGCAACGTCGAGCATGGTCAGTAACTAAGTGGGTAGACGCATGGGAATACCAGGCGCGGGTAACTTTGATGTGCAGTTGGCATAATGGATAATGGCTCGGAATTTTTAACCAGGAGCCGTGTTCCAATCCAGTTCAGTTTTATTTCATTTACTTACTTCCAGATATCCTTGGGAAACGTATGCATTCATCTCTTCTCCTTTCAGCTATGGGTTAATTAGTAAAACTTGTTGCATTCAATCATTATTATCTCCACACAAAAAATCTTACAATTTAAAAATATTTTCTGGCTTTAAATAACCAGCAAACGCTGGATATGCCGTAGAAAACGAATCAATCAATAAATATCCCAAATATAAATTTGTGCGAAAATGAACACATCGGGCGAGGCAGAAATTTCAACTCGTTTCAATATCCCCGATACTAATCGTTGCAACATCGAAAATATCACTGCTAGCGTGTATTAAATATGTCAACATTTTCAAAGTTTTCGGCTGTCTTCTGATATCTTAACACTAGTAGCAGTGCGTTGTCTGTGTTCATACCTGACCGTACCACATGCTTCAGTAGAGTTCACTGTGATGAACGAGGCAAAACAGATGGCATGCCACAGAGGCTCTTTTTATTCTGTTTAAGGTGTGTCAGTTTATGGAACTTGGGTAGAGACTCGATGATTATTTCCGAGTATTAAGACGCATGTCGGGCGAGACGCGTCACCGTTGCTAAGATATTGGCAACAGTGTTTAAGTAAACACAACTACATGTACAGATAAGAAGGTCACACAGTAATGATGATAGCCAAGATCGATACAATTTAAGAGCAGTAGCGCAGGATGCAATGCCTCCTAAGCACAGATCAGAGCAAATCTATTCTCTGTTATATAGATTTATCTCACCACTAACGTACGAGTCAATATCTACGAAACTATAGCCCAGAACATAACTCATTGGAAATTTTATTTATCTATTCACTATTAACCCTATATTCTTTAATATTTTTGATCACCTTATTTAAAACATCTGGTCCCCTTAAAAATGGTATGCTCCTGTAATTTTCTGGTCGACGGCAAGATTTTCTGGTATGACTTTTGAGACCGGTTCGAGAATTGCACAAAAGACCACAAATAGTACAGGAGAATATATTGTATCCAAGTGTAGCAGGAAAACTGATAGTTGTCTGATTTTGCTTTCGTGTTTCAAGTAGTCGAATGATTCTTACTTCTTAAATGGCAAGTAGAACGATACATTGACCTTTTCATAGCTACCTCTTCAAAGTTCTTGAATGGAATGTTGTCACAAAAAAAGGTTGCTCTTCAGTTTATCTTTACACCTGAGCGAAGATCTACAAACATTTCTATGACCACTATGGAGATCATTTTAGAAAAGAACCTTTGGTATGCGATCATCACTTACACTTGCCACATGGCCAGCCCAAAATAGCTGTGATTGCAACATATATATATATATATATATATATATATATATATATATATATATATATATATATATATATATATATATATGAGATAATGATATATATTTTTATATATCAATAATATTACTGGGGACATTTTATGACAAGTGGAACAAGTTTACATGTGTCGCAGTTCGTCCTTCAGGAGATCACCGGAATAATTTTGTTATTGTTATGGTCCAAGTTCCTTGTACCACGGTGATGGTCAAAGGTTAGAACCAATGAAAGAATACCACGAACACACGTATGGAATACAAAGATATATTACAACAGTAATATAATACAAAGAATTAGAAGATTTGGTTAGAGTGAACTATGTTGTCTCGACAAGTATCACTATTCCAATATCCTTACAATATGCTCTCAATTATCTCTGCTCGTCTTACAATCTAATATTTATTGTCGCAAATACAACAAATGTGGCACATGGCCAAAAGGGAGTTGGGGGAAAAGGACGGTCATCACTTGTCTTAATATAAAACTTAGCTAGCCACAACCACTGACCCTGTCATACAAAACAATATTCCTATCCCCAAAACAACACAAATATCGATACCTTTCATA